AATTTCAAGCCGGCTTTCTTTTTGTCAAGATGAATTAAAAAGACTCATTTATGTACTAATTTTACCGCAGTAATCTGAAGTACCTATGCGCGTTGCACCATTTGAATAGAGCGTTAAAGTGGCTTATCATCAAAACTTGGTGAGCTCTCCATCTACACAGCTTTTGACAGGTAGCTTACAACCAATCAATTTTTGCATGCCATCATTAATCAAACCATTCCTAACATGACCAGGCTGCTCACTGCCCCGCAACCGTCTTTGCAAATCATACAAATATATGCGGCGTGGGCTGTTAGCGATTGCTTGTAGCTTATTCTGATTCATCAGTTTTCATGGTTGCGCTCATTCCCTGTGGTTAGCGACGGCGAGCGGGCGCCCAAGCCAACTCGAACCCACTCCGCTGCAGGTGGATGGATTGAAAGGCAGGCGGGCTAAGCAACTGAGCCTTGGAGACGGACCTGCGATGTGTTCTGTTAAAGCACTCACGCAAACTTAAGATACCCCTGCTCATTCACTTTTCCTTTTTCAAGCTCGAGACATCCTTATTCCTGGCCGCGTAGAAGCTGCGTGTATCAATCCTACGGAGGCATCCAGGGGCAGCACCACTAGAGGGGCAAGGGGTCGACCGTGCCTTGCCCTTTTCCAATGGGTAAATATATCTCCTCCCCGCCCCCAAGTCTGTTCTTCGCAATGCGGGGCACAAGACGCGCAAACCAATCGCTGAAGTTGTCAAAATTATCATCTCCTCCGCCCCACCCCGCCAGTGCAGTCACAGCTGAATACGGTTTCAGCACGCGACAGGAGCTGAAAGCTTGCTTCGCTTAATGGTGACGCAGAGGAGGACCAACGCAGCAGCAGTTTGGGATGTACATCATCGTCGCCTGGATCGAGGGATCCAGCTCAAGCTGTATTCGCTTATCCCAGTCTAAACACAGCACGTCAAAGAACGTCTGGGAATGCTTACAGTCACACCATATACGGCATTGGTGCCGCTTTTCAGCTTGTATCGTCACCTCAATAAAAACAGATTTCTCTCTGTTATTATTTTTTCCATGAGCAAACAGGAAAAAAATGGAAGTCGAGCGTCAAAACCATAGCGTAACTGCGGGGGTGAGGATGCTTTAAATATCACCTTGCGAAGCTTTTGTCATTGTGCATACACACGCTTATGCACTAATACATTACAAAGACAATTTGTCTAAGTGATAATGTGCAGTGTGCTGAAAAGTTTCGAAACAGCGGTAAGGCGTCTCCGCCCACATGGGACAAGGGACGGCCTGTCACCTTGGGAAGGAAAGTGGATGGCAGCCGTTTGCATTATATCTTTCTAGTCAAAGCCCACAGGGCCAATGCCAAATTTTCTGAAGGCTGTGCGTCTCATCCCCTGTCATCACCCCCGGTGCCCGGACCCACATGCAGTACGGTGGTGCAGAGCAATACTCGTCAGGAATGGCCAGTCACGTGAACGCCAGTTATTAAACGCATGATGTACCGCCCCTGTTTTATTCAAGTGACGTTGAGATGGGTTTACGACCTAGTCCCCAACCCCGTATCGAAAATTGGTGGCGCCGCCCTGTCAGCAGTCATTTTCCATTGCCAACAGTCACATTTCTCAAAGCCTGCCATATCGTTGAGGCTAGTGTCGGCTAGGCTTTTTCAGTGTGGACCCTATCAGGGCATAATATGAAGTGTTCTGATGGCTGCAAGCTCCTAATGCATGTCCCTCCCAACAAATTTCCTCGTTGCTGTTACACTTGTGCCTAAGTTTGAATGATGAGCTGCTAACAGCGCTTTACTGATTTACGGACACAAGCATCTTTTCCCACTCTCCGGCATGCTCTTATTACAAGCGCATTCACATTCAAGGTGGGTCTCACTCGAACTATGCGATAATTTTCGGCTGCAGCGGCCTTGCCAGGGCTGGTATAGACGTCAAGCTTTGTAGATCCTGGCACCTTACACACGCTGAGCGCAAGTTTATTTGATTTTTAGCCGTCAGAGGAGTTATTTAAAAGTTGTGCGGTTTGAATTGTTTGCTATATGCATGCAAGCTAACAACAAGTTGAATGCAAGCTGCTGTTGAAAAGGCACTTTTCAGCAACGTCATGCAGTCACTACGATTTTAACTTTTGATATTCAATTCATACTGTAAGGACAACTTTCTGCTGGCAGAAAATTTGGACAGCACGAGTTAAAACCGGGTCCTGATCTCGCCAATCCGGCATCGCAACTGTTCTTGAGTGCAAACCATGTCTCCGTCCGTCTCCGTCCGTCTCCGTGTTGGGCGTTTTTAATGACTGATGCCTCTCCTCTCGGCTCTCAAATACAGAACTGCATGACCGGTAGGCGCGCCAGTAATCGACCTACGTTTACTGAGGCCGGTCATAAACACAAGACATCGCGACCTAATATTTAACAATCTAGCCATGAAATCTACGCACCCATGTAGGCCTGTTTATTGGGACCAGTATCCTCCGAAAAATTAACATGCATTATAATAACTTGGTCACAATTGCCGGAGTCGAAAAGTTTTGCAAATCAATCAATATCATATGTTGCACTTCCTGAATCCCGCTAGACTCGTAAACGACCATTTTTCAAACGAAGTAGTATACGGTGAGCGAATTCCACATCTGAATTCCTTCTGTTACATTGTCATTGAGGTCACACTCTCTGCCACAATGATCAGGCTCATTAGTGCGGGCTGCTAGAGGCGTTTAAGTCCCCTTGACATCTTTTTTGATGCCATGACGTACTGGTAGTTTCAATGATTTCGCTCGGCCCTGTCGTCCAACGCTCCCGAAATACGCAAAACCTTGCTGAGCTATACACAATGTAAACAGGCGGGTGTCGATCATTTCCCGTCCGGACACAAATGTTGACATGGCTCCGCACTCAGCCCGCTCTGGGCGCCGTTCGTCTCCATTAGCCGCAAAATAGTCCGCCGCCAACCCGTCGGCGCACGTGAAATTCTACTTTGCCTGCCCTCCAGCTGTAAAGCAGCCGCCGGGTAAAAAACAAAGTCCGGAGAATATGGACCGGTGTATTTCGAGAGAAGGCGAGACGGGTTGAATTAGGCGGAGAGATTGGCGGCTTACCTCGCGCTTATGATTATCAGCCCCTTCGCGCCACCAAAGGCGATCGTACCTGGCCGCGCCGTCGCGTTGCGCTGCGCCCGTGCGCCCGCGTCGCGCCCGACTGTGCCGCACTACACTCGGCCCGGCGCGGCCGGCAACCCCGCCCCCGAGCGGGCCGGGCCTCAGCCACGGCGGCGGAGCGGCACCGGTTCGCGTGTGGCGTTTTGCGGGCTGTCGGGGGAGCGGCACCGCGCGGCACTTGGACGGCTGACGGTGCCGCCGCCCAATACCTGCCCGGCGGCGCCGCCGCCTCCAGCCGTCACCAGCAGCCGGCACCAAATTGAATTCGGCTCCCCACGTCGCGTGAATGGATCGGCTCGCTTCACCTAGACGCGCCGTGGATAGCGATCAAGCCTGGGGTTATTTGTGAGGTGAATAACTGAAAATAGATACCGGTGGGTATGTGATTCCCACGGCCACGTGTCGCAAAGAAATTATTCTTAAGGGCTGGTTCTGATCACTGCATAGTAGGTGCGCTTATTTGGTGAAATACTTGGCCCATAGTCATTGCCAAGGCGTGAGCTGGGCGCGAAGACGAAGAGCAACATTGAACATGAGACTTGTCTTGTTTGTTTGTCTTGTTTCACGCATCCTCAGGGTGGCAAGAAGGTCCCTGCCATCGAGTTGGCTGCTTCCTGTCACTCGCCTGAAAACGGCACTCGACACAGCCCGCAATTTACCGAGTTTTAGTGCTCTTCTTTGTTTAATGTGATGGCATGATCGACACGAAGCAAGCCACATTCTGGCCGAAGCCGCCACGTTTTCCGGCTTGATAGGCCAACCACGAACAGTCCGTGACAGAGATTATCACGAATGTGCCGCTTTTTAATTAATCTGTGCCTATCCAATTTGCGAATAATCCGCTGTTCTCCGGATTCATCTATTCCGCTTTATCATCTAATTGGTTCATTGGAATGCAGACAAGACTGAAGTGGAACGAATAAAGCCCAGCATGGTGAACTTCATGCAAATTCCGGATATAATCCTGCATCACCGGGTGGATAACATTATACATACACTGTGTGGCCCTTGCAAATGTAGCGATAAGGCCACGGCGCATATCTATGCGAACGCTTCTTCCACGCGATAGCATACAAGGATGGCGGGAGACGATACTGCTGCTGCGATCCCAGTGCTACTCGGATATTGCCTTTCAATTGGCATTAGCGCCCGAGATTGCGTCCCGCCTACGTAATTGCATATATGTCCCGCACACCCAGCCCAAGCAGCCACACACATGCGGTGCCCCGAACTCGGTATCAGAGAGCGCAACCCATTGGTGCGTTGTTGTTTGATAACGGACGTGTGTTTTTGGGCATCTGTAGCCAGTGCATGACGGCCATATAAGTTTACACTGTATCGTCGTCTGAGGCCAGGCATCACCGACGCCTCCAGCTTCCAACCAATCACGCTTAGCAACCACCGATGAGTACCGGCACCCCTGACGCGCCACTGTCTGAGCGCGAAAACCCCTAACGCGCCACCGTCGGAGCGTGAAAACCCCTGACGCGCCACCGTCTGAGCGTGAAACCCCTGACGCGCCACCGTCGGAGCGTGAAAACCCCTAGCGCGCCACCGTCGGAGCGTGAAAACCCCTGACGCGCCACCGTCTGAGCGTGGACACCCCTGACACGCCACCGTCTGAGCGTGAACACCCCTGATGCGCCACCGTCTGAGCGTGAACGCCCTTGATGCGCCACCGTCTGAGCGTGAACACCCCTGACGCGCCACTGTCTGAGCGTGGACACCCCTGATGCGCCACCGTCTGAGCGTGAACACCCCTGACGCGCCACCGTCTGAGCGTGAACACCCATGACGCCACCGTCTGAGCGTGGGCACGCCTGACGCCATCTCCACCGGCAGCCTGTTCGAGTCTGTGCGGCAGCAGCAGCAGCAGCAGGAAGAGGAGCTGGTGTCGGCGGCCGAGGAGATGGCGCCGGCGCGTATGCGTCGCTCCACCTCGTGGCTGACCTCGAACACGACGACGCGCTCTGTCCTGCCGCCGGGCTACGATATGCTGGAGAAGCCCAGCTCGCCGATCCCAGGTCAGGGCCGGAGGTCGGACGGCAGAGGTGTTGCGACCATGGTGGGCAGGGTGCACACAGCAGAGGGGAGACGGTGCGGAGCGAGAGGTGCCGGGGACTGAGCTGTGTTACATTGTATTGAATAGGCGAGCCGTCCACGAATTTTGGTACTTATTAAGAGCTTGGGGTGATGCGGGTAATCTAGTGGAGTTTATAACGCTAATCTGCGACTGTGGAGATCATGTAATGAGATGTGAGGGAATAATTCAAATTAAAACTGGTGTGGCCGTCTGTGAAACGGAACGAGGTGATGATAAGGCTGACATGCTGCATGACATTTTCCCCGCATGAGACAGTAGCGTTTAGGAAGGATTTTCATACGGTTATGATTACAGCACACGTAATTCATTACGAGGCTTCTGGGCCTTACATGATCGTTCCAAGGATCCATTTCAGAATGCATGATTCCAACGGTGCTACCTGTTCTGGCATTATGTGAAGTCGCAAATCGTCCCCCGCAAATTCAACATGTCAACTTACAGTATCTTCCCGAAAATCATTGCTGCAGTTTGATCTGTGTATATAAGCCAAACGATTTCTAGACCGAGGGCGTTTTTGCTAGAGCTGTTTGCACCTTTGTCTAGTCGTTATCTGGGAACACCATACCAACCGTACTTATGCACGCATGGCATATTCATTATGCGCCATTCAGCATGGCATTGATGTCTTAATACCGAGGTTATATCATGTCAATCACCGCATCTAATGCGGCTGATTGCCCGGTCTTATCCGGTGCACAGCAGTTAAACCTTTGAAAGACCTGGTTAAGCAAAACACGACATTTTATGACACGGTATGTTTATTCCGTGCA